ATTTTTTAGTAGAATATTCCTTTAGTATTTCAATTTTTAGCTAAATTTTATTTCGTATTTCTATTTTCCTAGTGGAATATTTTTTGGTTTCTATTTTTCAACAGAATATTCTTTTTAGTATTTCTATTTTTCTAGTGGAGTATTTTTTTAGTATTTCTATTTTTTCGGGAATATTCTTTTAGTATTTTTATTTTTTTAGCGGACTATTTTTTTAGTATTCCTATTTTTTAGTGGAATATTCTTTTAGTATTTCTATTTTTTCAGTGGAATATTCCTTTAGTGTCTTTATTTTTAATTGAAATATTCTTCTAGTATTTATATTTTTTAGTAGAATATTCCTTTAGTATTTCAATTTTTAAATAAATTTTTTTTCGTATTTCTATTTTCCTAGTGGAATATTTTTTTGGTTTCTATTTTTCAACAGAATATTCTTTATAGTACTTCCATTTTTCTAGTGGAGTATTCTTTTAGTATTTCTATTTTTAGTGGAATATTCTTTTAGTATTTTTACTTTTTCAGTGAAATATTTCTTTAGTATTTTTTTTTATTGGAATATTCCTTTAGTGTTTTTATTTTTAATTGAATAATTTTTCTAGTATTTATATTTTTTTAGTAGAATATTCCTTTTGAATAATGTACGAATACTGTGATCAGAATGAATATTTGAATCGGAATATAGTAGGAATATTTTATTGGAATATTATAGAAATATTCCAAGAATATATTATTAAAAAATATGTTTATAAAATTCCAATGGAATATTTCTACATTAGTCCAAAAAAAAAAACACTCCGAAGGAAAATTCCAATGTTTCAATGAAAATATTCCAGGAATGTCAACGAAATATCCCCTGACATTGGAATGCTTGATTCAAATAAATAATTTTCTTTACTAAAAAGATTGAAAAAAAAGAAACAAATCCATGAAAATTTTTTTTCTCTAAAATCAAATATAATTCATGATTCTTCGCCGCAGTGTTTGACAGGAACTCTCGAATATTGTACGAATGAGAATTGCAAGGTTCGAAAAATTTTTCAATATTCTCCGAGCACGACTTGAGGCATAACTAAATTACAGAATGGAGAATGGCTTTTTCGAGATGCAAGGGGAAGGGCAAAGACTACACTGAAGGGGCTTAGAATATGAATTGTAACCAGGGCTGTGGAAGGGGGGTAAAAGGGAAAAATCGACAAGCCAGGTGGCGTTGAGGGGCGAGACAGAGTGGAGGGATTTGGAAAACCACGATAGGAGAATCAAGTTTCGATTAATATACATATCGCGCGATCTGTACGGAATTTTCCGAGCTTCTCTACTTCTAAAATCTACTGTATATACATATCTATATATATATATATATATCATTCGCTCTGTCGTTCGCTCGCTAGCTCGCTGCAAAACCTTACAACCCCGTGGGCTTTGAATATCAACCAATTTCCTGCCGATATTTGTGCGACGAGCACTTCAACAGCCGCGAAGCGTGAGTGCAATCGCTAATATCAACAAAATTCATCATTTCTCAATCATTTCGGGGTTTTTTTTTGTTTCTTTCTGGAAAATATTTCTGTCATTTTTTTTGTTTCTCTCTTTTTTTCCTTTACATCTCTTTTCCTTTCTTTTTATCAATTATTTCCTAAATCAGGCATCGCACTCGTTTACTGAAACCTACTATTTACTACTTTTTTTACGTTATGCTACTATTTGGGTACTTTTTTTAGATTTCGGCCACTAAAAGCTACTATTTCTGTTTTTTTTAGAATTTCCACTACTTTAAATTCGCTCATACTAGAAATCAAAAAACTATTCGAAAAAATTATAATCAAATTCTTTAAAACGATTCAATTATGCATTTTCAAAAAAATATTCGAAAGTCTATTTTCAATATCTAGTATTTTCATAAAATTTCGCAAAACAATTCAATTATTTAAAAAAGAAATGAATGAAATTCACCAAAATTCAATTATTTTCATAAGTAATAAAATCTCCACAGAAATTTAATTATTTTAGAATAGCATTTTCAAAAAAATTACGAAAAAATCAAATATTTAACAAAATTTTTATACAATTCTTCACAAGAATTCAGTTACTTCCACTAATAATAACATTTTTCATGGAAATTCAATTTTTAAAAAAAAATTTTGATAAAGTTCTAAGCAAGAATTCAATTATTTATACATAAATAATAAAACTCATCGAAGAATTTCAATTATTTTTAATACTACTCTAAATTATTTAATCGGTAAATTCAATTATTTTCACTTATAAAGTTAACGACAAGAATTCAATTATTTAAAATAAAATTTTTATAATATTTATTATATATTTCGAAAAAAATAATTATTTAAAACAATATTTATAAAATTCTTATGAAGAATTCAATTATTTTCAAATTTCAACAATGACCAAATTTTTCACAGAAATTCAATTCTTTTTAATCATTTAAATAAAATTTTTCGCAATAATTCAATTTTTTTTATAAATAATAAAATTCTTTTCAGGAATTCAATTATTTTTGAAAATTTCAATAAAATTCTTTGGACCTATTCAATTATTTTTTTAAAAATAATAAAATTCATCGAAGGATTTCAATTATTTTTAATACAATCTTACAGGAATTGCTTAAAAAATTTAATTATTCTCAAAAATTGAATTTCAATTTCTCGAAAAAAACAATTATTTAAAAAACTAATAAATAAATAATAAAATAATAAAATTTTTTTGAAAATAATTAAATTATTCTTTTTCATTTTAATAAAATTCTTCCCAAGAATTCAATTATTTATATAAATAATTCTTCGAAAGAATTCGATTATGTCGATAAATAACAAAATTATTCCCGAAAATTCAATTATCTTGAGTCATTTTAATCAAATTCTTTGCAAAATTCAATTATTTTTATAAATAACAATATTTATCACAAGAATTCAATATTATTATTAAAAATAATAAATTTTTTGACAAAAATTCAATTCTTATTTACACATTGAAATAAAATTTTTCGCAATAATTCAATTATTTTTGTAAATAGGTAATTAAATTCTTCTTAGGAATTCAATTTTTTTTTTGTAAATAATAAAAATCATCGAAGAATTTCAATTATTTTTAATACAATTTTGCAGGAATTGTTTAAAAATGTAATTATTCTTAAAAATTTAATTTCGATTCCTCGAAAAAATCAATTATTTAAAGAAATGTTTTTTTTTAAATTCTTTGGAACAATTCAATTATTATTTATAAAAATATTAGAAAATTTCACAGGCATTCAATTATTTTCAAGTATTTTAATAGAATTGTTTGAAAGAAATCAATTATTTTAAATACAATTTTAATTTAATTTTTTTTAAGTAATTCAATTATTCTTTCAGATGTTAATAAAATTCTTCCCAAGAATGCAATTATTTATATAAATAATTCTTCGAAATAATTCAATTATTAAAGATAAATAACAAAATTATTCCCGAAAATTCAATTATTTTGAGGCATTTTAATAAAATTCTTTGCAAAATTCAATTATTTTCATAAATAACAATATTCATTAGAAGAATTCAATTATTTTTAGAAGTAATAAATTTCTTCTTGGAATGTCAATTATTTTAAAAAAATTCTAAGAAAATCGTTCGCAAGAATTCAAATATTTTCATAAATAATAAAATAATGCTTTTCAGGAATTCAATTATTTTCAAAAAAATTTAAGAAAATACCACACAGACATTTGATTATTGTTAAAAATTTTAATATAGAATTCTTTGTAAAATTTATTTTTAAAAACTTTCCGCAATTCAATGTTTTTCAATATTTACTATTTTCATAAAATTTCCAAATAGAATTCAATTGTTTAAAAAAATTTTTTGTAAAAATCTTAGTAAGAATTCATTTCTTCTCGCATGAATAATAATAATAAAAATTTTTTAGGAATTAAAATTATTTAAATTAGAATTTGCTTAAAACTAGTCGAAAGAAATTAATTATTTAGAAATTTTTATAAAATTCTTCGCAAGAATTAAATTATTTTTATAAATATTTAAATTCTTTCATGAATAATAAAATTCGTTGCAGGAATTCAATTTAATAGTATAGGATAAGAAAGAAGTAAATATTTTTGATAAAAATTAGGAAAAAGTCAGGAAAATAAAATACAGAATGTAATTCTTGTTAGTTTTGTGAAGTGTCTAAAACGATTTTTTTTTGGTCGTCAAGTTTAATTTTTCGATAGCTGCTTTTTACTTTTTTTTTTTTTTTGGTTTGAAAGCTACTTTTTGCTATTTTTAAAAAATTTATTATCGAGTGCGAAGTCTGCTTTTTTCTCTCATTCTTTCTTCTTTTTCTTTTTTCTTTCTTCCGTTTCTTTCTTTCTTCATTTTTTCTTTCTTTCTTTTTTTAATTGTCCACATAAATATAATTTATAATTATTAATTATAAATAATTCTTTTACAATCGTATTATAAAGTTTATTTAGAAATCATTTCCTTACAAATTAAAAAGAAACTATTTTCATTACAGTTTTCGAAGTACATACACAAAAATTAAATGGTCCAATGAAAATCAGAAGAGGGGATTAAGAAAGGTTTAACTGACATGAAACCATCTCTCTCTCTTTCTCTCTCATAGTCAACGAGTAAAGAAGCTTAAAAGGGTTGTTTCCTCAAACCGTTTCAGTCTTTTGAATAATTAATTATCGTATTAACAACCCTCTTTTCTACCGTTACGTATACGATACACACAATTCGCATTTGAATAATTGACAGAATTACCTTAACTGCAAAAATAAAATGACTTAACGAGTTATTTTTAAAAATTTTCTTAATTAAAGAGACAACACTGCTAAAAATATTAGTATGGTAACGATTACCATAGCAATTTGTAAAAGATACTAAATCAACGCTTCTCATAGTAACGTTTGCCATATCAACTACAATCGCATATAAAAAAAAAAAATTGATCATCTTCTACAAAAAAAAAATTCAATTAAAATAAATAATAAAAATAAATTCCTCCTGTTGCAGATAACAATCTAATCTACCAGCAGCGCTACGCCTCAAATCGAAGCGAACGAGAGAGCAGAAGTTCGCCAACGACAATAAGTCGTCCGGACAGTGCATCGTCAGTGAATTCACAATGGCCATCGTCGCAAACAAATGCCGCGTCTGATAATTATCATTCGCGACGTCAGGAATGGTCGAGTGAAATTTACAATGCAAAACGAAGTTGCACACCAACGTGGACAGAACTCGGTGCACAATTGGAGCCAGCGGCTAATAATAATTCGCCATCCTCGTCATCATGGGAGCGACAGAGTGCATCGTGTTATTTGCAGAAGCAAAGAAATTCGCCATTGAATACAATAACGACGACGACAACAACAACAATGTCCTCCTCGTGGAGTAGTGATTATGCGAAAACTAATAATAAAAATGGACCACCATCGTCGTGGAGTGATGTCACCGTTGGTTATCAGCAGCAGCGAAGGGGTTCACTTCAGTTGTGGCAATTTTTGGTTGCTCTACTCGATGATCCGGCGAATGCTCCTTGTATCGCGTGGACCGGAAGGGGAATGGAGTTCAAATTGATTGAACCTGAAGAGGTAGAATTGAGATTTTAATTACGATTACCATAGCAATTGGTGTTATCAAAATAGTAATCATTACTATACCAACGGTTGCAATGATATGTTAACCATTACCATACTCTCTAAATTTGAATTAGTAAAAACTAAAAATGTTTACTAATTTGAATTAGTGACTGAATTTTTCCTTTTGAATTTGTAAATTTTACTAGTAAATAGTAATTTTTACTAATTAGTAATTAGTAGAAATAACTATTTATTAGCAAAATTTACTAATTCAAAAGCAAAAAGTCAGTCACTAATTCGAATCAGTAAACATTTTTAACTAATTGAAATTTATAGAGTACCAAACGGTTGCTATGGTAACAATTACCAAAGCAACCATTGCATTGTTATAGAAATGTTAACCATTATACAGTGTAGCAACAAAAATTTAAATTTATTTTTCTTTGACTTTTTCTTTATTTCCAAACAGAATTTTGACTTTTTCTCTAACCCTACAATGAAAAAAAAAAAGTATTTGATTCAAATAACTGATTACTTGACTATTATCAATTAAATATTTACTTGAATCAAATATAATATTTATTGGAGTCAATTAATAAATGCGGTATTTGAACTAATAATTTCAGTATTTGAAGCAAATATGAAGTGAATCATTTAATTGACTCCAATAAATATTATTTGATTTAATTAAATATTTAATTTATTTATTTATAATAGTAATCAAGTAATAGGTTATTTGAATCAAATAAATATTTTTCAGTGTAGAGAATATAATGATTCACTCTAAAAATGATTAGATACTGAGAAAAATGTTCTAATACATTTATTTACAAATTTCTGCAAAACAATAAAATTATTCAAAAACATCAATAGTTTTAATTAAAATAAATAATTAATTATTATTATTTTTCCATAGGAGTTAAGATTTTCAAAAATTTTAAATTCAAATCTTTTGAAATTCAATAATTTATTATATATTATTATAATATATTATTTATATATTATTATAAAAATAACCCAGTGATAAAATTATTATTTCATATAAGAATATTGTTACTCTAACTTCTTTGAAATTATTTTCATCATTTCAATTCAATTATTATTTTCTAGAATTTTTAACTAAAATTCGTTCTTAAAATCAATTATTTTTAATAATTTTTCAAAAATGATCTATGAGAATTTTCAAATCCGCATCTGTTAACTATTCAATTTTAGAAAATTTAGATTATTCGGAAATTCTTCAAATAAATATATGTTAGAAAATAAAAACTCGAAATAATTTCCAAAAACACTGAATTAAAATTTTTAAAAAATAAATTCTACAGAATTGTTAGTTAAAAGTATGAAAAATGTAAATTTTCACTCTTTAAATTTGAATTAGTAAAAATGTTTATTAATTTGAATTAGTGACTGACTTTTTGCTATTGAATTATTAAATTTTATTAATAAATAGTAATTTCTACTAATTTTGAAATCATTTAAAAATTAAATTATTTCTAAAAATTCATGCCATAAAGCTTTGAATATTCAATTATTATAAAAAATTTTAACATTTATATCAATTTTTAATAGAAAGTTCTATGAGAATCCAATTATTTAAATACAAAAATAAATAATTCATTGAATAATTGAATGTTTCTTAAAAATGGATTCTCATAAAGAATTTTATCAACAAATTCTTAAATAATTGAATTCTTTCAACTAATTTTATTAAAATTTTTTAGAATAATTACATTTTTCGAGAAAAAAATCCAAACTTTTTCAAAAAAATTAATTCTACAGAATTGTTTGGTTAAAATTAAAAGTAAGAAAAATTGGGCGATTTTCAATGATTTGAATTCGAAACCTTTTCAAAATTCAAATTATTTTAAATCAATTTTTATTAGAAAATTCTACAAGAATTAAATTATTTAAATATAAAAATAAATAATTTACTCAATAATTGAATGTTTTTTAAATTTTAATTTTTACGAAGAATTTTATTAACAACTTTTGAAAATAATTTCTTTCATTCTAAGGAATTTTATTAAAATTTATTATATTAAAGAATTTTATGACAATTTTTGAAAAGAATTGAAAACTTTTTGAAGAATTTAATTAAAATTTGTAAAAATAGTTGAAATTCTGAGAGGAATTTAAATGATAATTCATAAAAATAATTGTATTCGTGGGAAGAATTTGATTAAATTTCGTTTAAATAATTGAATTTAATCAAGAATTTTTATAAAATTTTGGACAATAATTTAATTCTTGAGAAGAATTTCACTATCTATTTAAAAACAAAATTTAATTCTTGACGAGAATTTTTAAAAAATTTTGAGAAATAATTTAATTTCTGCGAAGTATTTTATTACTTTCCAAAAGAATTGAATTCTTGTTATGTATTTTGATATTTACCAAATAATTAAATTTTGGAAAAGAATTATTTAAAATTCATTAAAATAATTGATTTTATCGAAGGAATTTTCTTGTTTATCAAGATAATTGAATTCTTTTGGAGAATTGTATAAAAATTTTTTTCAATAATTAAGGGAATTTGAACCATTATGACGTCACATATTTAGAACAAATGCTTTGGACAAACTGTGACGTCATAATGGTTCAAATGCCCTTAAATTTTTTGATAAATTTTATGAAAATGAAAAATATTAAAAATCATTGAATTGCGAAAAACTTTTCAAAATAATTGAAATTTTATTATTTACGTAAATAATTGAATTATTCGGAAGAATTTTATTAAAATCTTAAAGAATAATTGAATTATTTTTAAAAAAAATTTAATTAAAATTGTATTTAAAATAATTGATTTGTTTCGAACAATATTCTTAAAATATTTAAAAACAATTGAAACCCTGGGAAAAATTCTAATACTTTTGTAAATATTTGAATTCTTCCAAACAATTTTAAAGAAAATATTTTTTTAAATAATTGATTTTTTCGATGAATTTAAATTAAATTTTTAAGAATAATTACATTTTTTGAGCAATTCCTGTGAAATTGTATTAAAAAAAATTGAAATCCTGCGATGGATTTTATTATTTATGAAAATAATTGAATTTTTCAAAGAATTTTATTAAAACTTTCAAAAATAATTTAATTCCTGAGAATTTTATTAGAATTTTAAAAAATAATTGATTTTTTTGAAGATTTTTATAACTTTTAAAAATAATTGTATTTTTGTGTTAAATATTGATATTTATAAAAATAATTGAATTTTGCAAAGATTTTTATTAAAATTCCTAAAAATAATTGCATAAATAAATTGTGACAATTTTTTTAGGTTGCACGCAGATGGGGCGTTCAAAAGAACAGACCAGCAATGAACTATGACAAATTGAGTCGCTCATTGAGGTATTATTACGAGAAGGGAATAATGCAAAAGGTCGCGGGCGAAAGATACGTTTATAAATTCGTCTGCGATCCAGAGGCACTTTTTAATATGGCCTATGGCACCGGAAACACCCCATTAACCAGCGATATGCAAAACGGTTTGTCCAAGAGTCATGTGACAGGGGGAAAAGTTTCATCGGCCACTGATATTGTCGATTTGGGGAAGCATTCCGCCAGCGGCTACGGTGACGCCGTACTCGCCATGTACTCAAATACCGCTTCAGGTAATTTTAATTCTCTAAATCCAATTTTTACTGCACGAAGAAAAATATAAAGTAACTTTTACTACTTTAGAAGTAAATTTTGCTACGTTCGAAGTAAATTTTACTACGTTCAGAAAATATATTTTTAAAAATTAGTAAAATTTACTTCTAACGTAGCAAAATTAACTTCAAAAGTAGTAAAACTTACCAGAAATGATTAACCAGAAATTTTTTTCTATAATAAAAGTAGTAAAAGTTACTTTATTTATATAATAAAATTGTTCACGAAATTCTTCGCAAGAATTCAATTATTTTTATAAAAAATAAAATTCTTCTCAGAAATTTAATTATTTTCCCAAATAATAAAATTGTACACGAGAATTTAATTACTTAAGAAAAATTAAATAAAATTCTTTGCAAGAATTCAATTATTTTTATAAATAATAAAATTCTTCTCAGAAATTCAATTATTTTCCCAAATAAATTCAAATTCTTCACAATTATTCAATTATTTAAAAAGAATTAAATAAAATTTTTCGCAAAAATGCAATTATTTTTATAAATAATACAATTCTTGAAAATTATTCAATTATTTTCATAAATAATAAAATTCTTTTTAGAAATTCAATTATTTTTCTAAACATTGAAAAATTTTTTCTTAAATTTTTCACAATTATTCATTTTTTTAAAAAGAATTAAATAAAATTCTTCTCAAGAATTCAATTATTTTTATAAATAATACAATTCTTGAAAATTATTTAATTATTTTCATAAATAATAAAATTCTTCTCAGAAATTCAATTATTTTTCTAAACATTGAAAAATTTTTTCTTAAATTCTTCACAATTATTTAATTATTTAAAAAGAATTAAATAAAATTCTTCGCAAGAATTCAATTATTTTTATAAAAAATAAAATTCTTCTCCGAAATTCAATTATTTTCCCAAATAATAAAATTGTACACGAGAATTTAATTATTTAAGAAAAATTAAATAAAATTCTTTGCAAGAATTCAATTATTTTTATAAACACTAAAATTGTTTGCAGTAATTAAATTATTTTCCCAAATAAATTCAAATTCTTCACAATTATTCAATTATTTAAAAAGAATTAAATAAAATTTTTCGCAAAAATTCAAGTATTTTTATAAATAATACAATTCTTGAAAATTATTCAATTATTTTCATAAATAATAAAATTCTTCTCAGAAATTCAATTATTTTTTTTTTAATTTTAATAAATTTCTTCGCAAGAATTCAATTATTTTTAAAAATAATATAATTTTTCTCAGAAATTCAATTATTTTTTTTAAAATTGATAAATTCTTTCTTAACTTCTTCACAATTATTCAATTATTTTCCCAAATAATAAAATTGTTCACGAGAATTCAGTTATTTAGGAAAATTAAATAAAATTCTTCGCAAGAATTCAATTATTTTCATAAATAATATAATTCTTCTCAGAAATTCAGTTATTTTTTTTAAAATTGATAAATTCTTCACAATTATTTAATTATTTTCCCAAATAAATTCCAATTCTTCACAATTATTCAATTATTTAAAAAGATTTAAATAAAATTCTTCGCAATAAATCAATTATTTTCCCAAATAAATTCAAATTCTTCATGAGAATTCAATTATTTAAAAAAAATTAATTAAAATTCCTGGTAAGAATTTAATTATTTTTATAAATAATAAAATTCTTTTGAGAAATTCTAATATTTTTTAAGAAATTGATAAATTCCTTATAAGAATTAAATTTTGAGAATCATTTTATTATTCAATATATTATTTATTTTTATATTTAAATAGTTGAATTCCAGTTGAACTTTTTAAAAAAAAATTGATTTACAAATGAATTTCAGTTGAATTTTTAGTTAATAATTGAATATTAAAAGCGAAATAGTATCAATTTTTTTTAGAAATAACTAAATTTTAAAAGATTATTAAATTGAAATCGTTGAAAATTTTAATTGCTGTAAAACTATAATAACATTTGAATTTTTACTTTGAAAAATTATTAACTTATTTTCTTAATTCCTGTGAACAATTTAAATTAAATTTTAATAAATAATTTTAGTTGTTTACGTTTAAAAATTACTTTTAAATACAATTGTATTTTTTAGAATAAAAATTTAGAAAAGAATTGAATTTTTCAAAAATTTAGAGCAGGATTAGAATGAAAATAAATATTTTTGATTTAAATCAGGAAACAGTCAGGGAAATACTGAGTCAAATTTTTGTGATTCGACTAAAACAATTTTTCTTTTTTAAAATTAATTTTCGATAGCTACTTTTGCTACTTTTATAGTAAAACATTTCTGATAACTTTTACTACTTTCGGAGTATATTTTGCTACGTTCAAAGTAAATTTTACTACCTTCAAAGAAAATATTTGTAAAAATTAGTAAAATTTACTTCGAACGTAGCAAAATTAACTCCAAAAGTAGTAAAAGTTACCAGAAATGATTAACCAGAAATTTTTTTCTATAAAAGTAGTAAAAGTTACTTTATATTATTCTCCATGTGGAAAATAACTATTTGTAAAATAACTGTTCGTAAAAAAAACTAAACGTAAAATTTTATTTGTAAAAAACTATTAGTAAAAAACTATTCCTAAAAAACTATTGTTAATAAGAAAAAAAAATGTTTTCCAGTTTATGGACAATCGAGTCTCCACCATTTGCATCAATATTTGGGCAGTAATGAGGGTTTCAAAACACCCCCAACTCGTTATCATTCACATTATGCCCAGCAGTATGCGAACAATCATCATCATCATCACCATCATCACCATCATCATCCAACGTCATCGGCGTACACTGAGACATTTTTAAATTATGGATTGGGAATTTCGGCGCACGAATTTCCTCTTGATGCAAGAACACAGGAATTATCATCGTCATCATCGTCGTCGTCAGCATCAAGACCAGTTTATACCATTGACTCGTGTGAAAGTACAGAGAGAGATCATGACTCAACATCAGTGGCAACGGCAACATATCATGGCTTACAGAGATCTCAAATATCGACCAATATTGTCAGTTCTCAAACACCCCTAATAGAGGGTAGTGCCAGTTCGAAAATTGAACAAACACCCTACACATGCCTCGGCGTTGGAAGCTGTGTATGTTAAAGAGAAAAAAAAAAGAATTCAGTAAGAAAAATAATCTACATATATTATGAATATATATTTTGTCCATAACAATCTAAATTTAACAATTAATCGATTTTTTTTACAACAAATCAATTTTCTCTCGGGGTAAATTTTTTCTATTTTAAATTTCAGGCTTCGTACTCATCTACTAAAACCTACTATTTTAATATTTCTTTACTATTAATTAATTAATATTAATATTAATAATTAAATTAATATTAATTAATTAATATTAATATTAATTAATTAATATTAATATTAATAATTAAATTAATATTAATTAATTAATATTAATATTAATTAATTAATATTAATATTAATAATTAAATTAATATTAATTAATTAATATTAATATTAATAATTAAATTAATTTTAATTAATTAATTATTATTTTTTCAAAGTTATCACTTGGTCACTATTTAATATATGATTAATATATTAATTGATTGATAATTATTAATCATATATCAATTAATTATTATTAATTTGCTACTATTTGGATAATTTTTTATATTTACGACACTAAAAGCGACTTTTTTTCTTTATTTTTCGATGAAATTTGCATCACTTAAAATTCGCTAATATAGTTGAAACAAAAACAAATTATAAAAATTGTAATAAAATTTTTTAAAACGATTCAATTATTCTCAAAAACTTTTCGAAAATCAATGATTTTCAATATCAATACAATTCTAATAAAATTCCAGAAAAGATTTTTAATAAAATTCTTTGCAAATATTTCAATTATTTTAAAATTAATACAATTTTTAAAGAAATTGAATTACTTAAAATATTTCATAAAATTTTGAGAAAAAAATCAATTTTGAAATCTTTTTATAAAATTCTATAACGCAAGAATTCAATTATTTTCACAAGCAAGAATATTTTTTACAAAAATTCAATTATTTATATAAAAATTTAAATAATAAAATTATACAGACAAGAATACAATTATTTTCGCATAAATAATAAAATTCTTTACAAGAATTCAATTTTATTTTCCCAAATACTTAAATTTTTTCATGAGAATTCAAATATTTATAAAAGAATTAAAGAAATTCATCGAAAGAATTTAATTATTTGTATAAATAATAAAATTCTTCTCAGAAATTCAATTATTTTTTAAAAAATTGTTAAATTCTTTTTTAAATTCTTCACAATTATTCAATTATTTTATCAAATAATAAAATTGTTCACGAGAATTTAATTATTTAAAAAAAATAAATAAAATTCTTCTCAGATATTCAATTATTTTTTTAAAAATTGATAAATATTTTCTTAGACTCTTCACAATTATTCAATTATTTTCCCGAATAATAAAATAATTTACGAAAATTCAATGATTTTCATAAATGATAAAATTCTTCTGAGAAATTCAATTATTTTTTAAAAAATTGTTAAATTCTTTCTTAAATTCTTCACAATTATTCAATTATTTTATCAAATAATCAAATTGTTCACGAGAATTTAATTATTTTATCAAATAATAAAATTGTTCACGAGAATTTAATTATTTAAAAAAAATAAATAAAATTCTTCTCAGAAATTCAATTATTTTTTTAAAAAATTGTTAATTTCTTCCTTAAATTCTTCACAATTATTCAATTATTTCCCAAATAATAAAATTATTCACGAGAATTCAATTATATTTTCTCAAATAATATAATTTTTCAATTCAAATTTTTTCAATTAACAATTTTCAATTATTTGAAAAGAATTAAATAAAATTCTTCTCAAGAATTCAATTATTTTCATAAATAATAAAATTCTTCTCAAGAATTTAAATATTTTCATAAATAATAATATTCTTCTCATAAATTCTTTTTTTTTAAAAAATTGTTAAATTCTAACTTAAATTCTTCACAATTATTCAATTATTTTCCCAAATAATAAAATTATTCACGAGAATTCAATTATTTAAAAAGAATTAAATAAAATTCTTCGCAAAAATTCAATTATTTTTTTAAAAATTGATAAATTGTTTATAAGAATTAAATGTTGAGAAACATTCAATTATTCAATATAAATTATTTATTTTTGTATTTAAATAGTTGAATTTCAGTAAATTTTCTAATAAAAATTGGTTTAAAAAAGAATTTCAGTTTAAATTTTAGATAATAATTGAATATTTAAAGCGTAATTTTTTTTTTGAAATAATAAAATTAAGTTAAAAAAATTATTAAATTGAAATGGTTGAAAATTTTAATTGTTGTAAAACTGTAATATCATTTAAATTGTTACTTTGAAAAGTTATTAATTAATTTTTTTGATTCCTGTAAACAATTTAATTTTAATTTTATTAAATAATTTTATTTGTTTACTTGTAAAAATTACTTTTAAAGACAATTTTTTTTAAGGATAAAAATTTAGAAAACAATTGAATTTTTCAAAAATTTAGAGCAGGATTAGAATAAAAATAAATATTTTTGATTTAAATCACGAAACAGTCAGGGAAATACTGAATCAAATTTTTGTGAATCGACTAAAGCAATGTTTCTCTTATTTGTTAAAATTAATTTTTGATAGCTACTTTTTTTTACTACTTTTTTTATTATTCAAGCTACTTTCTGATATATTTTTAAAATTAATTATTTAGTGTTAAGTCTGAATTTAAGTATTTTAATTAAAATAATTTCTACTATTCAAAAAAATAGTATAATTATAGTTAAAATAATTTCCATTATTCAAAAAGTGTATGCAATCAAAATTAATGCTAAATTAAAAATTTAAAAAAAAATCTACTGATTTTAAAGAATTATTTTTAATTTAATAATTTATTTTTTTCTACTTTAAAAAAATTCAATACTATTGAAAGTTTGTTAATAATTTAAAATAATTAAAAATTATATAACAAACATTAGGAAAAAAATCTTAAGAACTTTTATTATCGGAATAGAGATTGTTAGTATTTTAAAATTCACAAAAATTATTTTATTATAAGTGGAAATTATTTTAATAATAACTATTAAAAATTTATTATTAATTATTAATAATAAATGGATCTACAAATATTTAATACTAAATAGTTAATAGTTAATATTTCCAAATATTACTAGAATGAAAAGAAATAATTAGATTGTTATGGAACAATAAAAAAAACTCAAAATAGTAAATTTGTTAAATATTGTTAATTGATAAATAATTACTTATATTTTGTTATTAAATCGTCTACATAGTTTTAATGATTTTACTCTCGAAAATTCAATATTGTGAATATTGCATAGATTGTATAATTTTTATTATTTATTGTCAAAAAAAAACGAAAAAATCTTTCGCTTTTTTCTATTTATAACTAATTTGTTACAAAAAGAAACAGAGAAATACTATTGTAGTAATAATCTATATAGTGCTTAATATCTAAAAGAAAGAAAAATATCTTTTTATTAATAAATTCGTTTGCAGTGTTTTTTAATTTCCTTTACACAATGTACATATAATTTGTCTCTTTTTTTTCTGTAAAAATTGTTTTAAAAAAATCCATTTCGATACAAATGTAATTTATTTATTATTATTTAAATTATAAATTAACACAATAATAATTAATTTATTAAATTTTTGTGAATTTAAATATCTTTTAGTTATTATATAATTAATGTAATCATTAATATTAATATTAATTAATATTAATGATTTTTATCAATTTTTAATTAAATATTAACTAAACTTACTTTATTGGTTAAAAGTTAAAATTCATAATTTTCTTCTTCGTAAAAATGATCTCAATTTAGTTAGAAAAAAAATAGAAGAAGCAAAAATTCTAGTCAAACGTCGTCCCAATTCCACTTGGAAGGGTTGTAAATTCTGTGTGGTTAATTAGATAGCGACTGTAATTTACATGTAAATAAAATAAATATCTCTGCTGTTGCAAATAATAAAAATAACAAGTCTTCATTTAATATCCATTTTAAATTACATTCCTCGCTAATTAAATAATTATTCGCAATAATTATTCAATTCTTTAATTATAATATTAATAGTATTAATAATATTACAATTAGCCAGTATTTAATCACCTACAGATTAGTTTTTTAATTCGTTTAATTGTTAATAATATTTTTAATACATTTTTTCATTTTTTTCTTCTTCCTTATTTTTTTCTTTTTCTTTTTTTTAAATTCTTATTCTGTTTTAATCTTTAATAATATAGTAAATTTTTAAATTTTCAATAATATTTCATTTCGTAATACATTTTTTAATAGTCTCGTAATTTTATTTTCATTAAGAAATTAAAACTTTTTATTTCTCTCTCCCCCTTTTTGTTTTCTTTTGTTATAATTATTTATAACAATTTTTTACAATTTTTTACAATTTTTTTTAAATGCCAATTAAATTTGTTCGACTATTGACATTATTTTTCATTCGTCCTGTTTTTTGTTCAACAGCGCATCGGCAAATAAATTTAAATACATGAATAATTAGACTGACGAGAATTATAATACAGATATAAATCCAAAATTCGGAGACATAATTTTTTGTTGTTGGAGTCTTGATTTTTGGAATATTCCAATATCTTTCGCCATTACAAAAATTCGTGTAGCATACTATCTTTTTTATTATCGCTGTTTCATTTAATTTCTTATCAATGTTTTTGTCGTGACAATCATAGGTTGTTAAGTGTCGATTGTTATCTAAATAAATTCAATCAAAATGAAATATGAAATTATTTTATTAAATGACTTAGAAAATAATATTCATCGTTCGACAAAATATAAATATATAAATATATTAAATATTTGTTTAAATGTTTAAATAAATTATTTAAGTAAATAAATTTTTTTCATCTAAATGAATTAAAAAAAATTTTCAACGGCTATTTTGTTTTTATTTAAAAAAAATCAATTTTCAAGTTTTTTATTTTTATTAATCACTTTTAATTAGTAATAACTTTTATTTCACTAGATAAATTAATTTTATTTTGTAAATAAATAAAAAAATAAATTGTAATAATTAATTCACTTATTTATTATTTCGTTAAATAAATTTTTTCCTTTCATTATTGTTAATAAATGAACTTTTTTTTTTATTTTTAACAACTGACCTTTAATTTTGAACTTCATGCAGCCGATGCTACAAGTGGCAGTTGTGTTTTCAGTGAGATTCTTGCAATTGGCTAATGAAACATTACCGAAAAAATCATCTGTAAAGTTTCCTGTGTGACACCTGAAACACCAAATGCTTTCACCTGTTGAGAAAAAAATTTCAGATAAAAACAATTTTTATCTGACTATTTTTTTCTTATTTAACTTTTAACTCTCAAAAATCTTTTCAAATATATTTCTTTTTTCTCACTTCCGAGTTTAATTTTTTTGAAAATTAATTAAATTAATTTAATTTAATTTTAATTATTAAGTTTAATAATTATGCGATTAATTTAATTAAAATTTTTAATTCAATTTAATTTTTAATTTATAATTTCTTTTTCACTGAAAATATTTTCAAATCTTTCTTTTCTTATTAATAATTAATATTCATTGAATTAATATTTATCCAATTCTTCTTTTTTGTTCTCATTTCTCAATTTAAATTTTTTTATCTTTGATTTCGTTTTGTATGTATTTTCTTTTGTTTCAAAATAGGTCATGTAGGAGAAATTTTCTTATTGTTTCTTTACTTTATTGATGACTATTTTTAAATATAAATTTACAATAATTATAATAGTAATTTATAATTTATGGCAATTTTTTTTTGTAGATGTAAATAATAAATTTATTACAATTTGCTCACTTGCTGTGACAAAAATGGCAAAAGTCACCAAAAATAAATCCAACTTCATTGTTTCGTTCTTGATTATTTCACACTGCGAGAGATAAAAGAAAATCATATCTTGTATATAAGAGAGAAATTTCGAAGAAGGGATGAAAGCATCATATATATAGAAATTAATCAACAAAATATTATCTCTCCTTAGTAATTGCATTAATAATTTATTTCGAAACGTGTATTTTCTTTTTCTCTGTTTAATGAAATGAAAAGTATTTTTTTCCATCCTATTTTGAAAGAAAAATAATAAAAAACAAATATTTTTTATTTATTTAAAAAAAATTTATATTCTTTTTTTTAATAATAATAATTTAATAGATAAATTTTATTTTCATTGTTATTGTGACTGGTTGCGTAATACCCTTAAAGTTAGGCAACCAGTTACCATCGAGAGTCAAACGTTCCATCATTTATTAGGCGCTTGAAAAGTCGATAAAATCAAAAACTGTAATACTTCATTTTCTATTGATAACTGCAAAAATTATCTTCTGGTGATAATAAACAATTTTTGCAATTTGTTATTTTATCGATAAATTGAAAAAATTATCCACCGATGTTAAGGGGATTTTAATAAACATTTTTCTCATGGTAATTGTTTATGATAAAATTATTTTATTTTGAATCTATTTATTTATTTTGAATAAATAAATTTATTGTAGTAAAATAAATTTTGAATTTATTTATTTTGAATGAATAAATTCATTATAGATAAATAAAATTATTTTGAACGAAAAAATTTATTGTTGATAAATAAATTTATTTTGAATGAATAAATTTATTTTGAATAATTAAATAATTTAATATTTAAATATTTTATACAATAAATAGAATAAAATAAATTTTTTTTATTAATTGTATAAATTTTCTATATAAAAAATTTTGATTAAATTTGTTAATTTGCTAAATTTTTAATTTAACAATTAAAAAATTTGAATTAACATACAAAATTTTTATAGTTTCTTTTTATTTTCTTTTATTTATTTATTTATTTATTTATTCTAGTTTTTGGGTTATTTGCTTAAAATTATTTATTTATTTATTCTTGTTTTTGGGTTAGTTGCTTAAAAATTATTTACTTATTATTTATTTATTCTGGTTTTTGGGTTATTCGCCACATTCTGAAATAATAAATAAAAAAGAGACGAAGACTATTTTTTTCATTCATAGAAAATTGTTTATTCAGTAATACTCGTAAAATTCTTAGGGGCTATCACAGATTTATCACATGTGAATATTAGATACTGAACGTAAATATAAATAAAATATAATGTACTGCTCAAATTATTTTTAAAATACAACTATTGTCTGCGAATATAAACTATATAACTATAAACTTAATTAACGTCACTTTAAGTAGTGTGAAATAAATAATTATACAATGCAATATTGTCAAAAAAAAAGAAAATAGAGAAAAAAGAAACTTAATCGTAAGCTTAACAAAATTCTCTACAGTAAACTCTCGATAATAATTGATATACGCTTTCGATAATTATAGCAAAAATAATTAATTACCAACAATTGTCAATCAAAAAATAATCATACATCATACACAAAAAATAAATAATTTTTGATTGACAATTACAATTAATTATTTTTGTTTTAATTAATTGTTAACAATTGATAATAAAAAAATAAATCATTTTTGATTGATAATTGTTAACAATTAACAGTTAATTATTTTTGCTTTTATTTCAATAAAAAATCATCAATTGTTAATTGTCAAAAAAAAACTTTAGTATACATCTTTGATAAAATATTTGGAAAAAATTAAATATTTTTCTTAATTGGTCTAAAAGATACACTGGAATATTAATAATTAATAATTAATAATTAATAATCAATAATTGAAAATAATTGTCGAAGAAAATAAAATTACAATCGAACGTCAATAATTAGACAATATTTTCTTACATTTTTTTTACGAAAAATGCTTGATCGTCGAAATTTGTTAACAGTTTCTTTTCATTTTTCCAATTTTTAAAACATTTTGATCATCAAAATTAGAAAAAATTTTAAAAAAATTTTTTTCCATTTATAAAAAATGCTAGATTGTCGTAATAATTAATTAACGATTATTAATAATTTGCAATTAGCAAATAATTATTTGATTCAAGTAAATATTTATTTGATTCGAATAAATATTTAGTACTTTATTTATTTTTTGCTTTATTTACTTTCCTTCTTTTTATTTATTTATTATTAATTAGAATTCAGTTAATAGAATAATAAAAAATGATGTTAAAAAAAAATAAAAAAAAAATTTATAAAGAGAAATTGGTGAAAAGTGATTATTAATTAAAAATCACTTTCAGTCGAATAAAAAGAAAATTATTATAAACTAGAGGAAAAAAAATTAATAATCTGTCGTTTCTCTTTTACAATTCAAATATAACGAACAGAAATACTATCAATATTTAAAGCCAAGTACCAAAACTCATCAACGCTGATATAAAATCTCTCTCTAAAAAAGATACGATAGACTCGTAATAATTATCTATATAAAGGAACAAAGCTAAATTATATATAATTATATTCTAATTTCTAAATATTCAAAATTTTTAATATATATTTACAAATTTTGATTTATTATTTAATAGATCAAAATTTTTCACATATTTTCCTCTCTTTCTTGTTTCTATTTGTTTATATAGTAAAAATATATTTTTTTTGTAAAAAATATTTTTACTTTATTCGAGATCATAAAGTTTCTCTGAAAAAATCACATTTTTAGATGAAATAACCAATTGTTATTTATATTCGAATTTCTCGTGCGGTATTTTAATAAAAGAATCACTAGAAGTGATTGTTATCTACTCTTTTATTTACCAATTTTTATTTAAATAAAAAATTGATTTCTCATCTTTTTTTAATATTCACGATTATTTTTTTCGTATAAAATTTCTGAATCAGGATATAATTATAACAATATAATAATTATCTTTTAATTAACATTATTACAATTATCGATTAAGAATTATATCTATATGCTATAAAATCATTATAATAAAATTATTATAACCATAAATTAAAATTATTCAAAGAATATTAAAATTATTGCAACTATTGTCGGAACTTATAGAAAATTTTATCCTTTTAAATCGAATAAAAAATTAGTGGAGAAAAAATAGAGAAAATAATAAATTTACCAAGGGGAATTAATCGAATATAAAAATTAATGGAGAAAAATAGACAAAAATAATAGATTTATCACAAGGCATATATTTTTCGAATTTATAAAAAATTTTCTGCTCAAATCGAATAAAAAAATAGAAAATTTACGCGCAACTATATTGTCAGAATTTATAGAAAAAAATTTTTTTTTTCAATTGAATAAAAAATAGAAAAAATAAATTTACCAAGACAGCTATTATCAAAAATAGAAAATTTCTTTTTCTAAATAAAAATAAAAAAATCGTGGAAAAAAATTTACCAAGGCCTCCACATTGGATCACAGGGATCGTCAATTCTAACGACATCAATTTCCTCCTCATCATCGACAATTGATTCCAAATTTGGTATTTTTTCAATTTTAGTTTGTGAATTATTTGAATAATGATTGTGATTTGATTTTGGATTCGAATTTTTGTCAATTAAATTATTTTTATCTTCTTTTATGAACAATTGACTTCGAAGAACTTCATTATTGTCAATTTGTGGCCTTGCATATGGAGATTTAATAATTTCCAAACGATTATTATTATTATTATTATTATTGGTATTATTATTTATCATTTCCGCTTTTGAATGATATTGCTTCGGCTGCTGTTGAATTGGTTCACTTGATGATGGTCTTCGTTTCTCATCGATGATCGATGTTCCAGATTCACTCGACGAATTCGGAGACTGACAGGGTGCAATTATATTAGCGGTTCTTTCCAAACTTTTTAGCGTTGTCGAGACGAGAATTTCATTCGTAGCATTCTAAATGTATTTTTGTTTTTTTAAATTTAATATTTCTTATTTCAATTATTTTTTTATTTCTACTTTTATTTTTATTTTCCAATTCAATTCAATTTAATTCAAATCAATTCAATTAAATTCGAATCAATTCAAATTAATTCAAATTAATTCAAATCAATTTAAATCAATTCAAATCAATTCAATTAAATTCGAATAAATTCAAATTAATTCAATTCAAATTCAATATTTTTTTATTTCAATTGTTATTTTACAATGCAACTGATTTAATTTTTTAAATAATTTTTTGTAAATTAAAGATAATGAGAATAATGTTTATAAACACAGATAAGGAAAATAAAATAATAAATAAATAATATTATTATTATTAGGATTATTATTATTTACTGAATATTTAATTTTATATTATATTAATAATAATTATTATTTAAACATTTTTGACAAGTTGTGAAAATAATAAGTACTCCAGATAATTATTTGTATTTAATAAATTTCAGGAAATTTTTCTGTATATATAAAATAATAATTATTGTTATTTTTTATTTGTCTATTTATTTTTCAGGCTAAAAAAAGTAAATTTTCATAAAAACGAATTTATTTGAATAAAATCTTTTTAATTAAAAATGTTTAAATTTTGGTAAATTTTCATTAGACACAAATTTTTATTTGGCAAATATTGATTAAAAACCATTAAATTATTAAACATATTTCTCTAATTAGATCTTTAATTTTTAAATTTCATTTTATTTATAAATAAAAGAAATAAAAAAAATGGAAAAATTTTTATTTAATCGAATGAAATTTAGCGGAAAAAATATTTTACCTGTTCATCGCTTGGTGTTTGTGTTAAAAGTGTTGAGAGATGTTTGAAAAGTTTATCGGCAGTTTCGCCGGGAAGAGAGGCTAAAAATCTGCAAGCCTCAGCGGCACAATGACCAAATCCAGATTGCCATCGACTTTCCGCAGACGCATCTTCATTTGATGATCCGGAAATGGATAATCCTGATGGCCGTGACGTTTGAAGCCTTTGCAAATGACGAACAGTCAATTCCAAAATATCCGCCTTCTCTAATTTACTGATATTTTCACCCTCGGTCTGAAAAAAAAATTGTTTCATTCTCTATTTTTGCATTTGTTTAAATTTTCACACTTTTATGTGCATTTGATTATTTGAATTTTAATAAATTTCAAATTTATTTTCAATATGTTTTTAATATTCAATTTAATGTTTTTTAGTACAATTCAATTTTTTTCAATTCAATTTTCAATTTTTCTATTTTCAATTAATTTTTAATATATTTTCAATATTCAATTCAATTTTTTTCAATTCAATTCAATTTTTCAATTCATTTTCAATATATTTTCAATATTCAATTCAATTTTTTTCAATTCAATTTTTAAATTTCAATTTATCAATTTTCGTATTTTCAATTAATTTTGCAATATATTTTCAATATTCAATTCAATTTTCTATTTTTAAATTTCAATTTTTCTATTTTCAATTAATTTTCAATATATTTTCAATATTCAGTTTAATTTTTCTCAATTGAATTGAATTGAATTCAATATTTAATTTTCAATTAATTTTCAATATATTTTCAATATTTAATTCAATTTTTTTCAATTCAATTCAATTTTTAAATTTCAATTTTTCTATTTTCAATTAATTTTCAATATATTTTCAATATTCAGTTCAATTTTTCTCAATTTAATACAATTCAATTCAATTTTCAATTTTTAAATTTCAATTAATTTTCAATACAAAAAGTTAAGTAGGTATTAAAAAATATTTTAAATGTTTAATAATATTTTAAAAATATTTTAAAAAAATTGAAAATAAATATTTAAAAATTAAAAATTAGCTTTAGTTTAAATTGGTTTAAAAATTAGTTTAAAAATATTTAAAACAAGTAAACATTTAAAAGTTATCTTAAAAAATATTGTAAACAAATAATAATTTAAAAATTAGTGCAAAAAAATATTAAAAAGTTAGTTGAAAAAAATATTTAAAACAAATAATCAATTAAAAAGTAGTTCAAAAATATATTTAAAAGAAATAATCATTTAAAAAATATTTTTTTAAACAAATTTCTCATATAAATTAATTATTTACTGAAATAACAATTTTTTTTGCAAATTTTGCAAAAAAATACTTAAAATAAGATTTTTTACTCAAATATTCGCTGATAATATTTTTGAACAAATAAAATTTAAATTAACACGGAAAAATTAATAATTTATTTTTTGAATATTGAACAAAAATTAAGAAATAAAAAAAAATGGTAATGAAATTTAATCTTACGATGTTTCGATTACAAACTCAAGTTCGCACGATCAAATGTGCGGATATTGATGGCTATGTATACATAACGAATCAGATGAATCGTGCGCGACCGAAATGGAAAAAATTGTAAATTTCTTTTCTTCCCAGACAGAGTTGAGAATAAAATCGCCAACTTGCGGTTTCTTTTTTTTTCTCCATTTTATTTTACATAATTTTTTTTGTTTTTTAAAGAAAGACGTCTATTTGTTTTTCGCTGATGGGAGAAGCAAATCGAATTTTTCAGGTGAAGTATATACATAAACCAATCAAGTATCAAGAAGATGTAGAAGAAGTAGAAGAAGAAAAAGGGCACGGGGGGTGGAGGAGGGACAAGAATCGATTATCTATGGAACGAATATTTCTCAATTTTGCAATTTTTATATTGTCGCAAGTTTTTTTCCTCAAGAATCGAATTTTTCACTTTCTTCTCTTTTTTCATAGTTTTATTTTAATAATTTTAATAATTTTTTTATTTTTTCTTATTTTATTTATTTTTTAGACTTTTTTAAAAATTTTTTTTTTATATTTTTCAGAAATTTTCTATTTATTTGAAAAATTTAACAAAAACTTGGAAGAATAAAAAATACCTACATTTTTGGATTCTTTGTCTTTGTTATCTAAATTTTTTTTGTCAAGTTCATAAAAATTATTTGCAAATTATTGTAAAAATTATTATTTAAAAATGAAAATAGAAATAATAACTCACTTCCAAGGCGTCTACCATAAGATCTTTTAATTCCTCGAGACATCGATTTATTCGCGCTCGTCTCTTTCTCTCCAGCAGTGGTTTTGTAATCTACGTGAAGAAAAAGGAATTGAAAATGTTGCATAACTTTTTTTAAAATTTATATTAGAATTTTTTTTATTATTTAATTTATAAACTCGTCATTAAATAATAATTGAAATTAACTAATTAAAATCATATAAATAACATTAAATAATTAAAAATAAATAATAAACAACTAAGCTAACTAAATTTTTTTCAATTATACTTTAATTTTTAGATCCAACAATTTTTTATTAAATTAAAATAGCAAAAAGAACAAAGGAATCAAATTCAAGTTAAATATATTAATTTTAGTTTCTTTTACGATAATTTTGTCCTTTATTACTATTATTGAAAATTATTTCGTTCAATAATTAAATAATAAATAATTAATAACAATTATTTAAAAATTAAACAATTAGTTTATTTATTATTTATTTGTTTACGATTCCGATTCACGTTAAGTTTTTTTTATCAATTTCGAAGCTACAATTTTAATTTAATATCTTCAACAAAATTTTCTATCAATTTTGACTTTTTATTTACTTATTTATTTGTTTACTTTTAGAGAAATTATTTCATGACAGTAAAGTTAAATAAAAATTCAATTATTTAAATTGTTATTAATTTTATTAATAACAATAAAAATCATTTTAATAATATATTAATAATAATAATATAATATTTTTAATAATATAGATAATAGAAAAGTAATTATAATACTATTAAACAAAGAAAATTAAGAAAATTAATTATTAAAAAAAATTAAGAAATTAATTATTGCAATTGTTATTAATAATATTTAATTAATAGAAAAACTAAAAGTTAATGACAACAATAATAAAGAATAAAAATAGATAATAATAAAGATAATAAAAAGTTAATAATACAAAATAATAATAGTAATAAATATTCTATTAACAATACAGAAAATAAAATTATAATATTGTTAAAAAAACAATAAATTAATAATATTGTTATTAACAATAATTAATTAATAACAATAATAATAAAGTTAATAGTAATAACGACAAATAATGAAAAATAAATAGCAAAAAAGAATAATAGTAATAAATATTAAAATAACAATAAGGAGAATAAAGAATTGATATAATATTGGTAAAAAAAACATTAAATTAATTAATGAAATTATTATTAATAGTAATTAATAAATAATAGAATAATAATATAATAATAATAATAAAAATATCTATGACAAATAATGAAGAGTTAATAATAAGAAGAATAATAGTAATAAATACAATAATAATAAGAAGGAGAATAAAAAATAATTATAATTTTTAAAATTTAACGTATAAAGGATAATAATAATAATAAAAATAATAATAATTAACAATAACAATTAAACCTACTTTTTTATATTGATAAGTCCTTGAAACCGGATGTGGATAATCGTACGACATCATTACAATTTTTTTTTGTTTTTTCTTTTTCTCTCTCTCTCTCTCTCTCTTTCTTTTTTTAATTTGAAATAATTTTTTCAGTCTTCTTTTGTGTATAAATGCACACATATGACACTGTCGCACTGCTTATACATATATGCATATTATATTATGTTAATTGAATAAAACTAGAGGAGGGTGGTGGTAATAAGGGGGGTGAGATGAAAAAAAAGAAAAACAATAGAATGACAAATAAATATCGAGACATTTAGACAGCGGGTGGTGTTCTCGATGCAGTGTCTGTACGTGAACTGACTCAACTACTTTAGTAAGAGGCCATTCTGACGGGACCCTCCCCTCGCTCACTTTCAAGTTCGAACCCTCCCCTCGTGAGTAGTGTATATAGAATAAATGCTATATACTTTACAATTTTTATTCCCTCAGGTATAGATCATCTCCCCCTCGAATTTTTTTATTTTTTTTCATTTTCTCTCTTTACACTTCCTATTTATGCAGTTTTTCTATTATAATACTTCCTCCAACCGCGGCAACCATACCCTAGAGAACGAGAAATTCTTACAAATTTATGTGAGAACGGGATTAATTAACTCTTATTAGGAACAAAACAAAACGTGAATAGTTCTTTTTGTTTTTTTTTATTTTTACCTGGTACGCATAATATGATTTTGGCGTTTTTCTTTTGTATTTTAGAAATTCGTTTTTGTATTTGCAAATTTGAGAAAAAAATACAGTATTTATTTTATATTTAATATTTATATTTATTTATTGTTTAATGTTTATATTTATTTTATATTTAACATTTATATTTAGTTTCGTTTTTATTTAAAAATCAACCAATGTAAATAAACAACTGACGATAAACAATTAGCAATAAATAATTACCAATAAACAATTAACTATAAACAATTGTACTATAAACCATTAGCAATAAACAAATATCAATAAAAAATTAACGATAAGCAATTAGCAATAAATAATTATCAGTAAACAATTACCTAATCATAAACAATTAGCAATAAGTAATTTTCAATAAACAATTAAGGATAAACAATTAGTAATAAACAATTACCAATAAACAATTAACTATAAACAATTGTACGATAAAGAATTAACAATAAGTAATTATCAATAAACAATTAACGATAAACAATTATTAAGAAATAATTAACGATAACAGTTGCACTATAAACAATTAACAATAAACAATTACCAACAAACAATTAATTAACATTTGACGATAAACAGTTAGCAATAAATAACTATCAATAAACAATTGAGGGTAAACAATTCGCAACAAATAATTAATTATAAAAAATTTGCAATAAATAATTAGCAATGAACAATTATCAATAAACATTTAACGATAAACAATTATCAAGAAATAATTAACGATAATCAGTTGCACTATAAACAATTAGCAATAAACAATTACCTAAGCATAAACAATTAGCAGTAAGTAATTAGCAATAAAGTGATTATCAGTAAACAATTACTAATAAAGAATTAACTATAAACAATTGTACGATAAACGATTAGCAATAAACAATTATCAATAAACGATTAACTATATAAATAATTAGCAATAAATAATTATCAATAAACAATTAACAATAAACAATTTTCAAAAAATAATGATCAATAAACAATTAACGATAAACAATTTTCAAGAAATAATGATCAATAAACAATTAACGATGAACAATTATCGAAAAACAAATACCAGAAAACAATTACCAAAAAACAATTACCAATAAACAATTAACATTTGACGATAAACAGTTAGTAATAAATATTTATTAATAAACAATTAAGAGTAAACAATTAGCAATAAATAATTAATTATAAGAAATTTGCAATAAACAATTAGCAATGAATAATTATCAATTAATAACAAACGATAAACAATTGTCAATAAATAATTAACAATAAATAATTGCCTACTAATAAACAAATAAAATTATAGCAAATAAATAATTGACAACAACGTAAAAGAAATGTTTACATCCACAAATTTTATTAACATTGTAATAAAATAATAAACAACTTTATTATTACATGACAATGTAATTAATTAACATACTAATTAACTAATTAATAATTTGAATTAGACGGCTGTTAATTGAATTATCAATCCAATTAATTAATTAATATTTTCCATTAGGTGACTCCTAATTGAATTACTTGTGAGTTGTGAATTAATTAATTCTAATTAAAATAATAGAAATTATGAATTAGTTAATTGAATTAACAATCAAATTAACTTATTAATAATTTCTATTACCTGGCTGTTAAAAAATTGTTTATTGTTATTTATTTTTAAACTACACTAATCATATTTTTATTAAATAATTTTTTTTTCTTTGTAAATAAAGTTATTGAAATATCCGGCAAAATACTTTTAATTTGGTCCCTAAAGTATGCGGAGATTAGAGGAGCGGAAGAATTTGATTTTGTTTCAAATAAACAAACGATAAGATTTTCATTGCTGAGAAATCTACTACGTTTTAGAGTTTCATTCATGAGTTTAATTTGAGGCATAATATAATACTTGTTCTGATAATAAAAAATGCGTACGTGCCACTTCATTATCAAATCATATGAAGCAATAGAATACGAGTCTAATATTATATAAATATATACCATACTACTTCTATATATCATTTAAGTATTTTAAGTAAACCGAAATTTTTTTCAAGTAAAAATTAAACATATTGTTAAAAAATATTCTAAAATAAAAAATAATATATTAATTTTCTACATTTCATCGACGTTATAGTCACGTCCAAATTTAAAACGGATCATTTTTTTATTAAATTCCTATAAGGAAATAGTAGAAATGTTTTTAACTCTAGAGAAGAAAAGTATAGTCTTTTACTCTAGGAATAAAAACTGTTGTTTTCAAACTCAAAGAAGAAACATTATTTTTTTGGTTTTTATTGTTTATACAGTATTTTCAACTCAAGGGAGAAAAATTATCGTTTCTACCTCTAGAGAGAAGAACTAATGTTTTCGACTCTAGGGAGAAAAACAATGGTTTTCGACTCTAGGGGGAAAAACTATTACTTTTGACTCTAGGAAGAAAAACATGTGTTTTCACCTCGAGAGAGAGAAAATAAATACGAATTTCAACTCTAGAAAATAGTTTAAAATCATGTTTACAAAAAAAAAAAAAAAATCCATAAATTAACAACAATATATGAGATGAGAATAAAAAAAAAATCTTCTAAAATATAACTACAAAAGTGCAAAGGAACATGACTCCTTGGCAATTATTATATATCTGCGTCACGAATATATGACATGATCTCGTGTGTTATTTTTTTTTTCGTCGATGCCTGCGGTTTATAAGAAGCGAGTCCCACAGATCTCGAGTGACTTTATTCTCGCGTATATATATATAGTATATTCATCATGGCGCAAAAGACTGCGCCATAAGCATCCTATATTATAAAAGCGCGAGAATCTCTCTATATGAATACCGGGAAGAAAAACAATAAATTCTTGATGTCATCGCTCTCTTGTCAAAGCAAAAAACAAAAAAAAAAGAGAAAAAAAAAGTACTGCTTTTAATTATATATCGCGTGCGCACAAAAACTATAATATAAGAAGATTCTTTATTTTTATCACTATATATAGATATAATGTGTAACTTGATGAACGCTTATCATATAATGAGGTATGTATACGACAAAGCGTGCGAATGTTTACGATTTAACGTCAATCTTCCGGTGACAATATAATATTCTCGTCAATGAATATACGCGCTGTGGGTCACGTGACCCCTTATATACATATGAACACTCAGAGAGTCGCGCATGAATGACGACGATGACAGACACGCGTGTAAGATGATGATGATGATAATGACGATGACAATAACAACATCGATGCTGGTCATTCAGGGAAATATATTTGAATTTATTCAATATTATCGCAATTATTTTATATAATATAGATAATTCGAAAATTAAAATAGAATTCAAAAGAATTCTATATTCAATTATTGTTTCATTGGAAAATATTTTTTTTAATTGAACTTTTAATTACTGTTAACTAAAATTAGTTAACAAATTAATCTTACGTTTACTGTTAACTACAGTTAGTTAACAAATTAATCTTACGTTTATTGTTAACTACAGTTAGTTAACAAATTAAACTTACGATTACTGTTATAATTAAAATTAGTTAAGAAATTCAATTACGTTTACTTAAAAAAATTAATTAACTAACTTATTGAACTTCTATTTAATGTTAAATTAAATTTTAATTTTAAACAAAAAAATTCTTTACTTTACTTTCTTCACTTTATTTGATTTTTATTGACTTTATTTTCAAGGATTCTATTTTTTTTCTACAATTTAACAATTTAAAGAGATATTTTTCTCGCCAGTGCTCTAAACTACTGTTTTTTTTTTAATAGAGACAATTGAAAATCATTGAATTACGAAAAGTTTTTAATAACAATTAAATTTTACAAAGAAATCTATTAAAATTTTTGAGAATAATAAAATGTGTGTGTGTAGTATTTTATTAATTATTTTTTAAAATAATTGAATTCCTAAAAAGCATTAATAATTGAATTCTTGCGAACGATATATTATTAGTATTTTTTAAAATAATTGAATTTCCAAGAAAAAATTTATTACTTTTAAAAATAATTAAATTCTTGTAATGGATATTGTTATTTATGAAAATAATTGAATTTTGCAAAGAATTTTATTAAAATGCCTCAAAATATTATTGAATTTTCGGGAATAATTTGATTATTTATCGACATAATAATTGAGTTCTTTCGAAAAACGTTTATGTAAATAATTGAATTCTCGGGAAAAATTTTATTAAAATCTAAAAGAATAATGCAATTCTTTCATAAAAATTTAATTAAAATTGTACTTAAAATAATTGAATCGCTGTGAAAATTTCTAATATTTTTGTTAATAAATAAATTCTTTCAAAGAATTTGAAAAAAAACATTTTTTTAAATAATTGATTTTCTCGAGGAATTGAATTTAAATTTTTAAGAATAATTACATTTCTCGAGCAATTCCTCTGAAATTGTATTAAAAATAATTGAAATCCTGCGATGAATTTTATTCTTAATAAAAATAATTATATAGTTGCTAAGAATATTATTAAAATTTTCAATAATAATTGAATTTCTAAGAAGAATTTTATTATTTATGAAAATAATTGAATTATTGTGAAAAATGTTATTAAAATGTTTAAAAAGAATTGAATTTTCTGTGAAAAATTTTGTTATTTTTTCAAAATAATTGAATTCTTCATAAGAATTTTATAAACATTGTTTTAAATAATTAATTTTTTCGAAATATATAATAAATATTATGGAAATTTTATTTCAAATAATTTGAATTCTTGTCAATAATTTTATTAGTGAAAATAATTGAATTTTTCGATTAATTAATTTGA